ACTGTAGATACAGGTTCATAAATTGTAGATACATGGTCATAAACTGTAGATAAAGGTCATAAACTGTAGATAAATGGTCATAAACTGTAGATAAATGGTCATAAACTGTAACAGTCATAAATTGTAGATACATGGTCATGAACTGTAACAGTCATAAACTGTAGATACATGTTCATAACCACCATCATCACCATCACAACCATCATCATCACCATCATCATCACCACCATCATCATCATCATCATCATCACCGTCATAAACTGTAACAGTCATAAACTGTAGATACATGTTCATAACCACCATCATCATCATCATCATCATCATCATCATCACCATCATCATCACCACCATCATCATCATCATCACCACCATCATCATCATCATCATCATCATCATCATCATCACCATCACCATCATCATCATCATCACCATCATCATCATCATCATCATCATCAACACCATCACCATCATCATCACCATCATCATCATCATCATCATCATCATCACCATCATCATCATCATCATCATCATCATCAACACCATCACCATCATCATCACCACCATCATCATCATCATCATCATCACCATCATCACCATCATCATCATCACCATCATCATCAACACCATCACCATCACCATCACCACCATCATCACCTTCACCATCACCATCATCATCATCATCAATACCATCACCATCACCATCACCATCATCACCATCACCATCATCATCATCATCATCATCATCATCATCATCAGTTATTGCATGCTCCAAACTGATGGCTCTCACAGAGTCATTCAGTATCTCACTGTCTTTGAATGCTGGGGATTAAACAAAACTTTACAAAAGCCATGAAATCAGCCACCCAGCCTGCAGACTGTCCCCGACTGAGAGACCACACAAACTCCTGCAGTCAACTGCAATGTGCATGTGTGTTTGTGTGTGAGTGAGGGTGGGTGTGTATGTGTGTGTGTGTGTGTGTGTGTTTGTGACAGGATCCCAAACTCTTGGCTCTCACAGGTTGACAGTGTGATGTGAGATATTTACTTCTCTGTTCCTCGACGTCGTCAGTGATTAACTCAGAGGCTGTAACACCCCTGATCCTCCATCAGAGGTAGAAACAGAGGAGTAAAGGACGGGGCTCAAACAGAGACATCAATATTACACGCTTATGGATGCCATATGGTACAGTGCTGTCGTAAAAACACAATCTGTGGAGGGCTGTTGACTCTCTCTCTCTGATGATCTGCATTATTTTTACAGTCTATGGTTTAACCTTAATAGACTGTCTGCACGCCACCTCTACCATCTCCATGCTCTAATGAACCTGCAGCATTATGTTTCCTGTTCTCCAGAATGTTCTTCTCCACTCTTTAGTTCACATTGAGATTCTCTTCAACTACACGTAGCATTGATAGAAAGACACATATTCTCATTATAGCGTCATGTAGAGGACTCTGCTGTGTTGTCAGCCATTTCCTTATCGTCCTTTTTAATTCATGTCTTGCATCAGGAGACCCCTGACAGGTAAACTGTGATGGACTTGTGTGAATAATGCCATCAGGAATAGTTTAGGGGCAGATTTCTGGATATTTTCAGTAGTTCATCTACTCTCTCTCTCTCTCTCTCCAAACGTTGGCAGATGAAGCAGAGAGGGGAGGGGGCATAATCTGAGGAGTGTTTTTTTCCCCAACCAAACAGCACAAAAATTATTATGTGTATAATCCTATTACCACCCCTTCCTCCCCCCCATTCCTTCTGCATTGTAGAGTTGAATGGAGGAGTCTCCAGCAGAGAGCACATTGTGGGCTGATAAGGGCCTTCTGGACTGAGGGGCCCATGCTCCCAGCACCCAGAGAGCCCCTCACAAGGTCGCCCCTCCCTTATAAGACCGCCCCTCACACGGCGGCCTGCGGGTCAACAAGGGCCCCGCCAAGAGCCAGGCGAATGTGTTAAACGGCTCAGCGGGAGTTTCCTGCTCCAACGCTCGCACGCTGAGGATCATTAGTGTGGAAGGAAGAAAGTGACAGCTTCACCTGCTGCTGACTCAGAGCACACACACACACACACACAAAGACACAGACACACACCACACACACACACCCCACACACACAACACAAACACACTTTAATGTGTGAAAGTATTATGGGAGGGGGTTCATTGACTAAATAAACCTTCTGTGAGCAGGTGCACAGTTTCATCAATGCGAGGTTGGGGGGGTCTATAACTTGTAGTAAACGTGCTGCTGACACCATGAAGACAGAGGCGGCCATGCTGATCCTCTCGCTGTGACTTTATACTTTAAAAAAGAATGAAACGTATCACTCACATGTGTTTCAACCGTGCAAAGCAGTAAGAACACATTTCCCCCTGGAAAATAAAGTATTGAATTGTATTGTATATTATATAAAATGTAATTATTAACAAGCATTATGAAGTATAAAATACACTCAAGAGTGTCTGTCTGTCTGTCTGTCTGTCTGTCTGTGTGTGTGTGTGTGTGTGTGTGTGTGTGTGTGTGTGTGTGTGTGTGTGTGTGTGTGTGTGTGTCTGTCTGTCTGTCTGTGTGTGTGTGTGTGTGTGTGTGTGTGTCTCTGTGTGTGGATGTGTGTGTGTGTGTGTGTGTGTGTGTGTGTGTCTGTCTGTCTGTCTGTCTGTCTGTCTGTGTCTCTCTCTCTCTGTCTGTCTGTCTGTGCTTTAATGGGTCTGTATTGTGTGGTGTGTTTGGATGTTTTGATGAAGCAGCTATGATCAAAGAGATGCTTGTACAATGAAAACAATACAGATACATACAATACAGACTAATAGTAAGTGCATCTCACAGACTCTCAAATCTGCTCTGCTAAAAGACAGTCACAAACACAATCACAGACACAGTAACATACACAGTAACAGGAACAGACACAGTCACAGTCACAGACAAAGACACAGTCAAAGTCACAGGCACAGTAACAAACACAGACACATTAACAGATAGAGTAAGAGAATAGGTCACACTCACAGACACTGTAACAGACAAAGGTAAAGACACAAAACATGAACAGACAAAGAAACATACACACACATAGGCAGAGTAACAGCCAAATACACAGTAACAGGCACAGACACAGAGGGATTAACATACCCAGTAACATACACAGACATAGTAACATACAGTCATAGACACAGGCAGAGTAACAGGCAGAGTAACAGACAGAGTAACAGACAGAGTAACAGGCAGAGTAACAGTCAGAGTAACAGACAGAGAAACAGTCAGAGTAACAGGCAGAGTAACAGTCAGAGTAACAGGCAGAGTAACAGTCAGAGTAACAGTGAGAGTAACAGACAAAGTAACAGACAGCGTAACAGGCAGAGTAACAGTCAGACTAACAGTCAGAGTAATAGGCAGAGTAACAGACAGAGTAACAGGCAGAGTAACAGACAGAGTAACAGGCAGAGTAACAGTCAGAGTAACAGACAGAGTAACAAACAGAGTAACAAACAGAGTAACAGACAGAGTAACAGTCAGACTAACAGTCAGAGTAACAGGCAGAGTAACAGACAGAGTAACAGTCAGAGTAACAGGCAGAGTAACAGACAGACTAACAGTCAGAGTAACATGCAGAGTAACAGTCAGAGTAACATGCAGAGTAACAGGCAGAGTAACAGTCAGAGTAACAGGCAGAGTAACAGTCAGAGTAACAGTCAGAGTAACAGTCAGAGTAACAGTCAGAGTAACACACAGAGTAACATGCAGAGTAACAGGCAGAGTAACAGACAGAGTAACAGTCAGAGTAACACACAGAGTAACAGTCAGAGTAACACACAGAGTAACAGTCAGAGTAACAGTCAGAGTAACAGTCAGAGTAACAGTCAAAGTAACAGACAGAGTAACAGACAAAGTAACAGGCAGAGTAACAGTCAGAGTAACAGACAGAGTAACAGTCAGAGTAACAGACAGAGTAACAGGCAGAGTAACAGACAGAGTAACAGTCAGAGTAACAGACAGAGTAACAGTCAGAGTAACAGACAGAGTAACAGTCAGAGTAACAGTCAGAGTAACAGTGAGAGTAACAGACAGAGTAACAGTCAGAGTAACACACAGAGTAACAGTCAGAGTAACAGACAAAGTAACAGGCAGAGTAACAGTCAGAGTAACAGACAGAGTAACAGACAGAGTAACAGTCTCTGAGCTCTGCTCAGTGAAACCTCTGAACCTGCTCCTGAGTTGTGATTTGTCTTAAACCAGCCTTTAAGACCCACAAATCTAAAGCTACAGTCCCTCCTCGATGCAGTTGAGACTGAAGAATTTAAATAAACAGTCTCATGTTGAGAATACTCTGGACTCTTATGGTAGACCATTATGGGATGTCTGATTCTAACCAAAGAGAATAAAGTGATGAACATCTGTTTAGAACTTGCTGACTGAATAAAACCTGATTCATTAACTATTTTCCTGCTCCTCTCTCCAGAACCCAGGTCTGGTAGTGGATGTGAATAAAAAAACACTCCTTGACTTTGTGTGTCTTCTTACCGTGAGAGCGGAGAACTTCTGAGCGCGTGCAGCGCACAGCAGACACAGCAGACACAGCAGCGCATGGACGCGCATCCTGACGCACACTCTTCAAATGACGCACGGACCAAAATTCAGTATGAGTTTACAGCGGGGAGACTTTAACAATAAGAGGAGAGCTGAACTCGTTAAAGATCCACAGAAGTCCTTCAGTCGGAGCAGAGGGGGTCGCTGGTTTATTTCACTCCGTCTCCTCCTTTTCTTCAGACAAGCCGTAAGTACACACCCTCCGGATTCCTCCTCCTGTGTCTCTGACCTCTTCTCCTCCCTCGGTCTCTCTCTTTCTCGCTCGCTCGCTCTCGCTCTCTCTCCTCTTCTCCTCACCCCGCGCCTCCTCCTCCTCTGTCTCTGATCGGATGCACAGGGGGAACTCCGTCTGCTGCGGGTAAAAAACATGTAAATGATTCTTCACCTTTTCTCCTCCACCCCCCTCTTCCTCCTTCAGAACACAACAAGGAGCCCCTTTTTGTCAGACTGTGCTACCACACCCCCCCCCCCCCCCCCCACACACACACACACACACACTACAATTAAAATCATCTAATAAACACACCCGCAAATAAAGACGAACATCTTGAGAGGTTGTCACAATGTAAGACAGGTACTTCAGACAGGTGTGTAAAAATGATGTACGCAGTCAAATTGCACAAAAACATTGGCAACGTTTTAGTACCGAATCCTCTATGATTGTCAAACAAGAGAGAGAGAGAGAGAGAGAGAGAGATGGAGGGAGAGAGGGAGAGAGAGAGAGAGAGAGCGAGGGAGAGAGGGAGAGAGAGAGAGAGAGAGAGAGAACATGGAAGCCCGTCGCTCCTCTCCAGCTTCACCCTCTACACAAACATATTTGTGTTAAATGGTGTGTGCAGGAGTTTATCTGCAAGTTCTCACAATAATAAACAATCAATGAGCACAAACAATTGTTCAGCCTTGATTGATTGCACATGAATGTAAATTAGGATCATTGTTGTTGATTTGTGGAACTTTGTCAATCTCGAAATTTAAAAAATATTATTTTTTTTTAACATGGCCCTAATTCTCCGTCGTATATAAACACCTAGTATGTTTGTAATATATCACATGTACACTACAGATATTTTTATTTCCGGAGCACACAGACGAGAGAGCGCCAGGATGCAGACTTACAGTCTTGAATTGTTTTCGTTTATTCTTGAAGCTCTTTTTGTTCCGTGTTTGTAATGAATGTGAGAGTACAGCGCCACCCAGCGGGTTTAAGACGAAGGTACAGTCTCTGTCACGCAATCATTCAGCAGGATATCCTCATAATTTAATTTGATCTAAATCCTCAGAAAACACATTAAGGAAGAACCCTCATTTGCATTGGTGCAGAGGTGCAGACAACAAAAGAGAAAGATAAATTAGAGGGTTTAACAACACGAGAGCAAGAATAAAACAGGAAGTTCGTATAATACAGTTACAAAGGCAGGAATAGTACAGTACAAATAATAAAAGTCAGAACGATTAAAATATAAAAGCAAAATAGTTTAAAAAAAAAAACCAATAAGATCCGAATTAAAACTTCTAATTATCTCAGTGTTATTAATGTGGTTCATTCTGTAATTATTTTCCTGGTGAATGAATAAGCAGGATTTATTTATCACCACTTCACCGCTTTAATGTTGAGTTTAATACTAAATTACATTCAAAGATGATCAAACAATAAGCTATCTGAATTAAACTCTTTATTAGAAATGTATTTTTACAGTCTCTCATTAGAAACAGGAGGAATGAAGCCTGAAGGGGGCAGTAATGACTCATCTGGAATATAGAATGTTTTACACCACCGAAGAAGACGCTCCTTTCTTCCGCGTCCGGTTCTGGCTTGCTGCGTGGTTTAGCCTCCATAGTTAGCTTAGCGGTAATTCAGCTGTTTCTCTGGAGTGTTAAAGAGCATCCTCGCGTCCACCATCATGTCCTACCAAGAAGAAGAAGCAACGCCAACAGCAGGAGCGGAGGCGACCACCGTAAGTTCTTCTTTGTTGGAGTTCTGTTCAATATTAAAATAACGACGCCATAGCTAGCTGTGCTCAGTTAGCCGGCTAGCTGGCTTACACCCGGCCAAACAGCGTCCGGCGAGCTAATGTGATGTTAGCATTGATGTTAGCATGTTGAGTTCTTCATGTTTAGTTACTGTGACAAGACCAACGTGTATGTTAACTTGATGTCTCACTCCTCTGTGTTTCCACAGTACGATCCTTACACCTACCCCAACGACTACGACCTGCACACAGGTGAGTCTAAGCACTTCAGCCCACCTGAATCCACATTATCATGTGTTAACTGAATCAGTAAACACACAGCACGGGCTTCACGACCACACTATGTGTGTGTGCACACACTACACTGTGTATGGGTGATACTGTGTGTGTGTGTGTGTTGTGGTGTACAGCTTCATGCAGTGGTAGAGATAGTCCATAAACGTGTGTGTGTGACTCCTCCCCCCTGCAGGTGATCCTAAAGCAGACCTGGCGTATGAGCGTCAGTACGAGCAGCAGACCTATCACGTCATCCCGGAGGTCATCAAGAACTTCCTGCAGTATTTCCATAAAACCATCTCTGACCTGATCGACCAGAAGGTGTACGAGCTGCAGTCCAACCGAGTGTCGAGCGAGAGCATCGAGCAGAAGATCTACGAGATCCAGGATGTGTACGAGAACAGGTGAGCTCTCTGCGTCTGCCTGTGTTTTCTTTAGAGTTCACTGCTGTGTCTCCTCATGTCCTTCACTCATGTTGTCTCCTTGACTGTTCACTGCTGTGTCTCCTCATGTCCTTCACTCATGTTGTCTCCTTGACTGTTAACTGATGTGTCTGCTCCTCTTCCTCACATTAACCCTTTGTGTTTACACTCTGCTCCTCTTCCTCACATTAACCCTTTGTGTTTACGCTCTGCTCCTCTTCCTCACATTAACCCTTTGTGTTTACGCTCGGCTCCTCTTCCTCACATTAACCCTTTGTGTTTACGCTCTGCTCCTCTACCTCACATTAACCCTTTGTGTTTACACTCTGCTCCTCTTCCTCACATTAACCCTTTGTGTTTACGCTCTGCTCCTCTACCTCACATTAACCCTTTGTGTTTACACTCTGCTCCTCTTCCTCACATTAACCCTTTGTGTTTACACTCTGCTCCTCTTCCTCACATTAACCCTTTGTGTTTACACTCTGCTCCTCTTCCTCACATTAACCCTTTGTGTTTACACTCTGCTCCTCTTCCTCATGTTCTCCTTCAGCTGGAATAAACTGACAGATCGTTTTTTTAAGACGTCTCCGTGGCCCGAAGCCGAAGCCATCGCATCACTCGTGGGAAACGGTGAGTGTTTCATCTCCTATCTTTACTCAGACGCCATCATTACAAAATTGAGATATGATTTTGGAATCACATTTTGTGTGTGTGTGTGCAGACGCTGTGTTCCTGATCCTCTATAAAGAGCTGTACTACAGACACATCTACGCTAAAGTCAGCGTAAGTATCTGCTCTCATTGATCTCCTGTTTCACCTTAGACAGAGAGAGATAGACAGAGAGAGAAATGACATGCAGGAAAGGAGCCACTGAACCACCAGCTCCCCGAAGAACAAACTTTCAAGTATTCCTGTCATACCTGCACTATCCCCCTGAAACACTCCTGAAGTGTCCATGTGTGAACACAACCATCTGAATGTTTCTCTCTTCACTCAGAGTTTCTCCTCCAGCCTCCTCGTATTTATTTTGCAGAAAGTCAGAGTGAGCTGATGTGAGAACGCAGCAGGATATAATCAGGAGAATTCACCTGGAGTGATTGGGAGGGGGTGGTGACGTTTATTCGTAGCATTGATACAAAGACACATTATAGCGTGCCCCCCCCCCTCCAGTCTGACAGGGAGAGTCTGTGAACAACCAGGTCAGGATCAGTCCTCCTGATATGTACAGGAGTGCAGATGTGAAAACATGATATGAAACATCTCCCTCTCCCCCCCACCTCTCTGTCATCAGGGTGGACCCACCTTGGATCAGAGGTTCGAGTCGTACTATAACTACTGTAACCTGTTTAACTACATCCTCAGTGAGTGACCACCTTCATCTTCATATTCTTTGTATCTAATATCACCTGATAACTGTAAACATGTAAAGAGTAAACATGTAACTGTAAACAGATGCTGATGGCCCCGCCCCCTTGGAGCTTCCGAACCAATGGCTATGGGACATCATTGATGAGTTTATCTACCAGGTACAGAAACAACTTCCCCACTTCCTGACTGAGGCTCTGTGGAAACACGCGTTTGTTTTAATGACCAAATCAAAGCTGCAAATATCAATGTCTCTCTGTGAATGTCCCCCCCCCCCCCCGTCTGCAGTTCCAGTCATTCAGTCAGTATCGCTGTAAAACCGCCAAGAAGTCGGAGGAGGAGATCGAGTTTCTGAGGAACAACCCGAAGATCTGGAACGTCCACAGTGTCCTCAACGTGTTGCACTCGTTGGTGGACAAGAGCAACATCAACCGGCAGCTGGAGGTCTACACCAGCGGGGGTAAGAAAGGGTTAAAATAGAACCATACCATTCTAGAAAAATCTGTCGCTGGCATCGTATCTGTGCTCTGTAGGCGGAGCTGAATCTGACTGCAGATCTGTTATGATTTGAAATGTTCAGTGATCAGAGGAAATAATCCAGTCAAAGACATATCTGGTCAAAGAGATTCAGTGAGAGAAAACCCGGATCAGTGTGTCGAGTGTGTTTGTTCTTCACGCCGTCGCTGTGTTGATGTCATGTCATGGTCGTGTTTCTGCAGGAGACCCAGAGAGTGTGGCGGGGGAGTACGGGCGCCACTCTCTCTATAAGATGTTGGGGTACTTCAGCTTGGTGGGTCTGCTGCGGCTGCACTCTCTGCTTGGGGATTATTACCAGGCCATCAAAGTGTTGGAGAACATCGAGCTTAACAAGAAGGTAAAACACACGCGCACACTCACACACACATGCACGCACGCACACACTCACACACACATACTCACACAGAGACACGCACGCACACACGCACGCTCACACTCACAGACACACACGCGCGCCATGAATGTTGACATCACCAGATTTACACGTACCTGTCTCTCTGCTGCCCCCTGTCTGTCAGAGCATGTATTCCCGTGTGCCTGAGTGTCAGATCACCACTTATTACTACGTGGGCTTCGCCTACCTGATGATGAGACGCTACCAGGACGCCATCCGAGTGTTCGCCAACATCCTGCTTTACATCCAGAGGACTAGGAACATGTTCCAGAGGTCCACATACAAATACGAAATGGTGAGTCGCTGTTTGACCCAACCACACACACCGTGCATATTAATCATCCTGTCAAACAATCAGCCTGGGGGAACTTTATTCTGTCTCAGTGAAACAGCACTCTAGCTGTTAATTAACAGGCTTTAACCCTTTAATAACCACTAATGAGGAGATTAATTTTCAC